CATCGCTTGTTATCTGACCGCTCACTACGTTGAGGGGAACCCATTTTAGCGAGTTATCCATTTCGAGGTTTTCTACTTACATGAGAAAAGCTTGGGGACGACAAAGTAAAATGATCCGACGAATTAGACTGGTTTACGTGAACAAATTTTAACTGAGTGTCCAAGGATTTAAAACTGACCCTAATCATGTCTTAATCACTTCAGTAACACGCGCCCAAAGTACTTTGGTTGGTTTCACTCACAGGTTTGATTGGTTCATTTTTGCAATTTCCTTTCCACTGATTGACTGTCGTGAGTTTTGGTTTCAAGAGATTCGATTAAAATGCTATCTAATTTTGTACATGGTTAGCTCAAAATGAAAGCAGATCACGAGCACACAAGGGGAACTCACCTCTATTTGATCAATTTCCAATAAAAATAAAGTATAATTATTAAAAACATACATCACAGGTTATTCTTCTTATGCAATATATCTCGGCTATCAACGAGCGTCTGCTTATTTTGCTTATTCAACCTACTCCGGAAGCTGTTCGGGAGGCAGTTACAATTATCATCCTAATATGCACTCTAAGGTGTGCCCTGTACGCAGTATATCTTGACTGTTTCCGAATATCTGCTTACTTTGTCTCTTCTATTTTGTCCGGAAGCTGTTTGGAGGGCGGTTTTAAACAAATATTGGTTGAAAGAGCGAGCTCAATGAGAGTATAGAGCATAGAGCTGGGTATTCAAGAGGAACACACCGTCATGTAATCAATTTCTGATAAAAATAAAGTATAATTATTATAGACATGCGTCACAGTTTATTCTTCTTATACAATCTATCTCGGCTATCAACGAGCATCTGCTTACTTTGCTTATTCAACCTACTCCGGAAGCTGCTCGAAATATGCATTTCAAGGTGTGCCCTGTATGCGGTATATCTTGATTGTTAACGAACATCTGCTTAATTTGTCTCTTCTATTGTGTCCGGAAGCTGTTTGGAGAGCGGTTTAAAGCGAATCTGTTGTCCATTGGGACATTCAGTTAGTCTTTGTTTTCTCCGAAATCACATGCAAGCAATTGCAGAGCGGATAGCTTGTTTTCCCTCCATGTTCACACATGCGTGCATCTCGATTGAACATTATGTTAAATACACACTATTAGCACTGACTACTGCACTACACAGGAATTTTCAACAATAACCACAACAGTTCAAAGCGTTGGGTTTGTCCAGCTTCTTTCTTGAATTAGAACTAATCTCGTGACAATCTTTTGATTTGTCTTTAAGATTGCAGACCTGTGTAGTAGGCCATGGCAAACAGACCTCTCCTGTACGTAATAATCTGAGGTACAGTTAGGAAAATTCTAGCCTTACCTGGTTAAACTGGATTGAGGTGATGTTCAGTTCAGGATAGCCTCTTGTTTGAGCGGGCCGAAAATATTGTCAAATGATCGAAACAGAAACTACTGTTTGAAGCATATGCTTTCCGGGTAATTAATTGAAATTTTGTTCTTAGCTATCATTGAAGCGTAACGTGATAGTTCATAACATGCTTAGTCAGAAAGAAAAATATTATTCCGTTTACAGCGCCGTGGGCAAAGGGGCGTGGAGACTCACAAGCTCGCGAACCATCTATGTCGTGGGCTTCTTTAAAAACCGTTGCATATTGCATTCTGCCCTGGCGTACTAGCGCCTTCTAGGGTGGCCTTACAACTCAAATCCATTGCTATACATGTTAAAATCAACGAGTCTTAGTCTTGTATACCAAGAAGGTTAGCTTTGCAGCTCCACTCTGTTATGAAATTTCAGCTGGAAGGCTCCACTTAGAAAACTCACCAACCAATATATAACACTGAAACTAAATCCCTGGTGGCCGGGAATAAATTACCGAAAGTAATAGTGGTTTGCTTGGTTGAGAGATTTCGATCAGACAAAGCGCTTGTCTCACTTTTCATACTTACTAAACTTCTTATAAATTCCCTTGATGTTCAACACTATATAAATTACGTAACCTGAATAGTGTCATCACTAAGCCTGCTAATCTTGTTTGCACTTCAAGAATTTGATCCAGTTAGATGTTATGTACTGAACTTTGGTAATCATTATATTCTCAGCAAGTTTTAGCTGTTTTGGTAGAAGGAATAGGGAAGGGAGGTTGAGGGACTCTTAAAAGACTCTTTGTTTTAAATCATTAAATTGAGCGTGATGAAACATTTTGAGCATAGTTTTTGGCATAAGGTCATGTTGTCAGGTGTGATGCTCGAAGTGTAATGTTAGCCTCAAGTAGGTTACACGCTCCGCGATGAAAGGATTGAAGTTTGAAAGCGTGAGCGTAGTGTGTCAAATCGTCGTAAATTTGCTCACAAGAAAAATCTACTCTGTAAACATCTATTCAGATGTCTCAGGTTGAATCGGGGATTTAACTATTCCTGTTGCGCACAACGCATTACATTACTACCTTAACATGAGAAGGATAAAATGCTTGTTTATCGCAGTCACTGCCGTTATTCACAATTTTCGAAAAACTTGATAAGTAGGCAATAGACAGAAATCTGTGTAGATGGTCTGCTTCCGGTACCAAGCCTTATTGAAGCGCTAACATTTATTCAATCATTTCCGAAAAAAACGCTATTTGCGTATAAGTAGTGATGGAAAGACAAGAGTAAAGCAAAAATTTACTAGATTTTCCACCTGTATGTGTAATCATGCTCGCTCATCAGGTTTAAAAGCCTTTAGGCAAGTTAGCTTTCCTAAGGAAGAGAAAAATTCCAAGAACAGAAAGCAAGATCGTTAGCCCATCGAAATCTAACAATTTTAAAATACCATCGGAGATTCCCCAGACGCCAGCTACTTTTAAGTGCTGATGTCTCTGGTGTGTCTCAGCAACAAATCCCAGCAAGAAACCAAAACATGTAAAAGCATAACAACTGTATTGTGACAATCGCTTAAGGTACATTTTGCTGACCCAAGAATATAACAAACCAAAGGCTCTTGATATTAGCAGGCAAGTCAAG